CGTAGCGTCAAAGCTACGTTCCAAATCACACACACACACACACACACACACACACACACACACACACACTGCTGGCTTTGCTTTAATTTTCAACTTTTTGAATGAAGGTATCATAGTCTTGATCTGCTAATGAGACCCTTGTAAAAGGTTGTAATGTTGTCTTTTACATGCCTATGTTTTACAACAGCAGGTGCTTTCCGTGCCTTGTAAAAGTACCATTTCATTTGTAGATTTTAAATCCTTATTTAATTCCATGTCTACATTAGTTTAGTATATTTGTCAATATGTGATCAAGAAATCTGTGTAAATCGTAAAGTTGTAATATGATATTTCTGAAATCTTTTCTAGTTTAGCATCCGAAAGAGTGGTATTTATTCACGTCTATGTTGGAAGCATATTGCAAAATATATGGAGAAGCTATATCTTTTGAAAATGTACCTGCATACATGATTTTGCTTTTGAAATTCGAATCTTGAGACTGTGATATGCAGGTGCCATTTTGAATCAAAGAGTGATTGTAACAGCATTCATGGTCTGTTTGTTCTGAAATATTTTAATAAAAGCTAATGCAGTGCAATGTTCAAAATCACTTTTCACATAGTACGTAAATTTTGCAAATATTGACATGTTTAATTTAGTGTGATTTTTAATACTGCTGGAAAAGGAGAAAACGGCGTTTGGCATTAATGTGGATCGTTTATATCCGGCTTAATCTTATCGATGCCTTCGTATTGCCATTTAGACAGCTAGACAATGCAGGAATATAGTTGTTCACAAAGGGGTAATCTTATTGTTTCAGTGGATCATACTGTGTTCATATTTATATAGGGTTGACAAAGCTCAAGCCAGTATAATGCTACTCTTCTCAAAATTTACAGGTGCGCTAGCTGGTACTCTTAGTTGCGATAAGTTTTATATGATTTTTGTTTAAGTTTTAATAAAACCTTCAAGTGAAAATATATAACTTAGCGATAAACTTTAAACTTTAAACTATAATGATACAATAAAATTACATTATAAAAAAAAATTGAAAAACATAAGGACTCTTGAAATTTTGCCATGGACAATGAAACCTTATGAAATTCAGTGTCCTCCTAGTGTGTAACAGTTTTATTCTATCAACATGTCAATAAAATAAAATTTAACTTTCACGAAAGTTTGACCCCGGACCCATATCTTTGTGTAAATCAGACAAAATCTAATAGAAAAGGAGTGTAAAAGTGTTTTCATTGAGATGGATCGCCTGATGTAAGTGCCGACAAGGTATAGCCGACGCGTATGTAAATGTGTAAAGTTGAAGTTATGTACTAATGAATTTTATACATGCACAAAACATAAATGCTTACAATCAAACCAACACTGAATATAAAGACGTAGCTTTCAGATTAAGTCTTACAATCATATTCTTTACTTCATTTATTTAATGTCATTCTTCGAGTTTTTGTGTGACTGAATATAAGGCGTCGGTATCGTATGCTACCTTGTTCGTTTTTGACAAAATGACAAATTTTACCCATCTTAATTATATATTATCCCAACGAGAGCGATAAAACGTTTAGAATAATGTGTGCCTAATGAGTCTTTATGTGTCCATTGATTTCATGTCATGATTTCGATTACTAATGTAACAAATTGACAGGAAATAAACGAGCAAGCATATCTTTTGTTCCTTCTGTAGCAATTTGGAATTGTCTACAATATATCTTACTCGAAATTAAAGGTTCATCGATTTAGCCATCTGATCGTTATTTGATGTAAATAAAGCGGAAAAAATACCGAATTTCATTTTAACGAGATAAATAAAATGTATTGCGCTGACTTGCATTATATATTATTTAATTGATTCCAGAACTTCATTACACTCTCTCTCTCTCTCTCTCTCTCTCTCTCTCTCTCTCTCTCTCTCTCTCTCTCTCTCTCTCTCTCTCTCTCTCTCTCTCTCTCTCTCTCTCCAACGTAATTGTTTGAGGAAATGTTGTAGTTGTTGTTGGGCTTAACGCCATTTTTTCAGCAAACGATAGGCTATTCATGGCGGCCAGTATTAATGGTGGAGGAAGGAACCTGGAAATCACCGGAAACAACCACCGACCCACGAGAAGCTACTGGCAAGCTTTCTCACATATCCACATTCGCCGAATCCTAGACTCGAACTCACGCAGACAGAGGTGAGATGGCAGTGATCCATAACGGACAGCGCTTTAGACCACTCGGCCACTCGGGGCCCCCTATTTGAGGAGATGATTTTGCATTCTGTATAATAGTGTAAGTAAGGTATTGGTTTAGAAATAGCAAACATGACATAATGGTATCTATCTATCTATCTATCTATCTATATATCTATCTATCTATCTATCTATCTATCTATCTATCTATCTATCTATCTATCTATCTATCTATCTATCTATCTATCTATCTATCTATCTATCTATCTATCTATCTATCCATCCATCCATCCATCCATCCATCCATCCATCCATCCATCCATCCATCCATCCATCCATCCATCCATCCATCCATCCATCCATCCATCCATCCATCCATCCATCCATCCATCCATCCATCCATCTATCTATCTATCTATCTATCTATCTATCTATCTATCTATCTATCTATCTATCTATCTATCTATCTATCTATCTATCTTATTGTATGTATGTATGTATGTATGTATGTATGTATGTATGTATGTATGTATGTATGTATGTATGTATGTATGTATGTATGTATGTATGTATGTATGTATGTATGTATGTATGTATGTATGTATGTATGTACGTACGTACGTACGTACGTACGTACGTACGTACGTACGTACGTACGTACGTACGTACGTATGTATGTATGTATGTATGTATGTATGTATGTATGTATGTATGTATGTATGTATGTATGTATGTATGTATGTATGTATGTAGATCAGTAGATCTATAGACATTTTGCGAATAATCTGACATAATCTTATCTGACTGCTGGTGATATAGCATTCAGTTTTTTATGGTGCTCTAAAGTGCCATTGGAGTTCAAATTATTCCTTACGTCTTTAAGAATATCATGCATAAAACCTTTCAAGTAAATTTTGGCTAGCATACGTCTATAGATAGTATGATTAACTACTGTCTCTTACTCTCTGAAGCATTTGTAATTTTTCCTGTGCGACTACATTTACGACGTTGGGAAAGTTTACGCTACTAAACCTGAATATTCATGAACTTAAAAAAGTCATCACGTTCTACATTGGAAAATGTACAAATACACACTCGTGAAGTGTTAGGCAAGAAATACTACTCAGTTAATTCAATGCATTTTGACCTATGGCCAAAACATTGACCCAGGTCTAGTTCGTTACATGTATAATATATCCTTTTAATCTTATATGGCTGATCTGGCGTTCGATACAGATGTTCAGTCTGTAATTCCATATCGCACATCCAAATTTTCAATAAGTACGAAAAGCTTGGAACTACTATTGCAGCTTGAAATATTCAATAACAGCTGACTTTTAAAATACCGAGAATGATTTATTGCTGTGCATCTTACATTATTCAAAAATGTCAAAAGACGTTTGTAATTTTAAGAAGTGCAATCGGTACCATCATCAACAATTCCTTAACCCAAGAGGTCGTTGGAGCATCACAGTTGACTTTACAACCAATTCCTTCCCTCTTTCCCTGTTCTCTACTACTGAACTTTGGGAATCTCCAAATCCCATGAATGTCCACTTTTTTATTTTTGTCCTCCCACCTCTTTTTGTGTCTGTCTCTTCTTATGCACCCTCGTACTGTGCCTTCCAAGATTGATTTTGCCAGTCCAGATGATGTTGAGATTTGACTGTACCACTTCAGTTTGCGCTTTTGTACAGTGATCAAGAAGTCTTCGTAGAATCCTATTTATCTTTGGATCTTGTTGTGGACATATTCATTGTACACATGGTCAATGTATGAGATGCCCAAGATTTTATAGTAGCATTTCATTTCACATGTTCGTATCGTTCTTTGTAGATCTGATGTGAGAGTTCATATTTCACAAGCATACAGAGAGACGGATATGTCAATCAAGCTCATCAACCATGTTGGTATCTTTCCATATTGGTCTCAACCTTGTTGTTGCTGCTGTTGCTCAGATAACAGACAACAGCAGTGCAGTTGTACTGGGTGACAATGACCTGTTTTGCTGAAGGGAGATAAAGGGGTAGTACCATAAGTAGAGAATAGCAGTATTTGAACTTCATATGATTTTGGTAATTACGACAATATGATGTATTGCTTTGAATTTGCTTGTTAAAATATATCTAAAATATTACAAATATAATACCCATGTTATAAAGATAGCAAATTTTCATTTTCTTGAAATATATATTTAGATTATTACCATTCAGTTCAGGGGATCACTAATTTATTTATTAAATGAAAATATAAATACAGAGAGTTTGAAAGTACTATGAATAAATGAGCTTTCTGTATACATACAAATGTATTTAATTACGGTTAGTCTATGAAATTTGCATTGAAATTGCTTGGAAGTAGAGCTCGTGTATTCAGTTGGTAGGGTTTAAGAAAAATGGTTACTTATTGATCTGAGACCCATGATCCATTTGAGAAGTAAGGAACAAATTCACTTGCCTGTGACTACAGTTAAATCCGTTCTTATATCCCTCACATTTATTTTAAGAAATCAAAGTTATAGAGTCAGTCACTATATCAGCATTGCGATGATATCAGTGTAAGTTTGTCTAGGCCTTGTCTCGATTCAGAACATGGTATTTTCTCAAAAAATTGTACAATATCTTCCATAAACGATTGAATGCATAATTACATTTTTAACGGTATACATTAACAAATTTGAAAGAATGTGTGAATAAACAAGGAACATGTAATAAATACAAAACCACGTACGTGATTTGAGAACGAACTCGTTTATCACGGCGTAGAAACATAGATTCTGACCTGAAGTCTTTGACATATTAATACGCTTGCTCTTTCCGTTCAAGGCAGACAGACATCGCTCCGGTGGCGTAGTGGTCAAAGTGTCCGCCTCGGATGAAGTAGGTCGCGGGTTCGAACCCCGGCTGAGTCACTCCAATGACTTATAAAAATGGTACTAACATATACCTCGTTTGGCGGTCAGCACTAAAAGGTTGTAGTTAGGACTAGTCGGTTTGGTGTCAGGACAATGTGACTGTGTGGGACGTAATACTAGATTGCTGGACATCACTATAACTTCCATTCTGCAGACATCCTAGCGAAATGACTGAAAAGTTGTTAAAGCTATGCTAAGAATCTGAATCAGAGAGAGAGAGAGAGAGAGAGAGAGAGAGAGAGAGAGAGAGAGAGAGAGAGAGAGAGAGAGAGAGAGAGAGAGAGAGAGAGAGAGAGAGAGAGAGAGAGAGAGAGAGAGTATAAAGTTGAATGTAGAGGGAAGAAAGTAACTATTGAAGTTTTAGTTCGGTGTGGCAAATTCCCCTATCTTGCTCCATAAACTGAATAGCAAATAATATACTTTAGTCACAAATCATTATTGTTCACATGCTAATAATATCATACTTCCAACAGTCTACGTCCCAGAGTTTGGTAGCCAGGCAGCATGGATGAAGACCGCAAGTATGATATATAAGTATTTACTGTTTATAAAAACACCCCAAAGCTATCGAACTATTGAAATGGGTCATTGAAGGTCAATATCCCAGAATCTATAAGTCGGTATGTACACAATAAAATGACACGACGAAGGAAATTATTAATAGTGTCTCCACAACTCCAAAGCAAATAACTCATAAGGTGCTTAGTATTTGTTCTAAACATTTACATTCAATACAATACATTGGGAATACTGAATACAGTAGGTTAAAAGGAACTGGGTTAATTGAACCCTCATCTCACATTTATTACATAAAACCATGACATTTTTCATTTAGAGATTAATTCTACTTGTTAATGACCTGCGTGGAATCCACTAATATCCCCACCCAACCACCACACAAAAATAAAAAAGCCCAGTTATAAGACAAAATATGTAAACATTAAACTTGATGTTGTATTAATTTCTTTCCAGAAACCACATCAGTATCCTTGCAAATTATTTCTGATTTAAGCACAAGCTTTGCTGCAACAAAATAAATCGTTATCTGACTGTCGGATTTCAATGTGCTATCCTATTTAACTTTTCCTTCCTATCAAAAACACACGGGGCCAAAATCGATCGATAAACGACTCACTTCATTGTGGTAATCTTATTTGTCAGGAAGACCGTATCTGACTCTCCGATGGAGAATGAGACGGGAGTCATTGATAAACAATGAATTCCACTGGCGTTCAGTTACAGTTCCATCTTGCTCGCATGCATCAAATAGTATCGACGGAATTATAAAAGCTGTTGAACCAAATTCGCACGAGACGATTCATTGATATATGTGGCAGCGAAAGATAGTAACTATGAGAGACATGTGTTCATTTTCGGCAATATGTGTTATTATTAATCTTTTGCTATTACCTAGCATCAAAGAAGCTAGGGTTTTCACCAAACAAATGAGCACTCGGACAATTGAAACAAAGGGCGGAACCCTAAGAGGAGCTCTTGTAGAATTTTCAGACTCCAATCTAAAGCCTATAGAAACTTTCAGAGGGATAGAATATGGCATAACACATGGAGATCGAATGAGATTTATGCCCCCTTTAAGTTATCAAGAAAAGAGGAAATATACATATCTAGCTTTTTCGATGCGCCCAGTGTGCCATCAAAAGATCATCAATGAAAATGACCTGTCCAGATTTCTACCAAAGAACAGTGTACAACAACTGAAGAGGATAGCCCCATTTACTATTTCGCAGCATGAGGATTGCCTGACCCTCAATCTATACGTGCCTGTTCCAGGTAAGTCTGCGTTTATACCGTGCTCTGGGCTCTTGAAATGCTAACAGAAATATAACTATGTGTAGGGAAATCAAAGTAATCCACCAAATATGCGTCAAGTTCTCAAGTATTGACAAAAACATTACTTCTTTCCATACGAAGCCCTGCATCAAAAACGGGATTTCTGTAAATATCACGAAAAGGGAAAATGCGAGTTCCTTTCTTTATACAGGTTTCAAAAACCTATCCCGTTCATTTCATCTGCAGCACTGACACAATGCATTACACCCTCCATCACCCTTAAAGATTTGATGCTTCCAGAAAGTTGCATACCTGCCCTTAATAATATTTGGTTTATCTCTACAGGGATGATCTCTTGTGAATAAGAACGGTAAAAAGACATTGTAATTAGTACAAAAGGAACTCTTTTGTCCTTTAGTAAGTCGTTTGCATATAATACATTTCTAGATGCGGCAGCAGGTAACATTTGCAATACAGTTTAAAACGAACCACATATATACTAATGCAAACTTAATTTTATAATCTTTTTTTTGCGTGTCAGGATCGCTGTACATGCAAACACTGTAAAAGTCCTTGTCATCTTAGCAAAATATGTAAGTTTCGAATTACATGTACATAATTTTCAGTCTTTTAGTATTTACTTAGTATCTTTTTCTTGTTTCATCATGGATAATTGGTTGAAAATGCTCTAAGTAATATGATTTAGATAATTGCAATCAGTAGAATATTGGTCATTCTGTAAAAATGCTTTTTGTAAAGTAACATCGAACAGTAAAATATATGGAAAATGTAACATCGAACGTGTAAAATATATGGAAAATGAAACGTTAATTAAAGTACTAAATAATTTCTCACAAATAACTTATTTTTAGGAAATATATCATGCATCGGTCTTGTTAGAGGAGCCTGCTGTATTATAAATAAAGTACCATTAAATCTTTGACAACACGAAATTACCTTATCGGTACTATACATTAACACAAGGATTGCAAGGACCCTTGTCAAGCGTCTTTCATCGCTTCAGAATCGTACTGTAGATCATACTGTATTTCTAAATTATTTTTGTCTAAAACAGTCTTGTCTAACATGGATCATACTCTTATGTTTTGCATAATCTTGTTTAACTGAAAAGCTACACATGTCCATTCAAACTACAGTAACCTACCAACGCGTAACTCTAGTATGTCTTTGTATACGACACCATCACCATGTAGTAAATAAGCGTTAGTGTCTAATACTCGTACTGATCACTGAGCAGAGTCTGTGTTATCTGTTAATAATATTGAATCCATCATCTCGTCTCGGCTTTACTACTGGAAGTGTTATGACATCATCGACCATCATTTTTACTATTCTGACTTTAACAAGTTATTTCTGATCAGGGAATTTATATACAATTATCACATGATACCATCTGAAAAGGCAAGTTAAACATTTTGTGAAATTACTTTCAAAGCGATATTCAACCCATAGCAGACTCAACTACTTCCGCCTGATGGAGTCATGCAGAAAGACTTTGTGACCGTAATGGTGAAAATAAATGGTGAGAATAAAAGTTCATTCGCCGGATTAGATTCACGAGATGGTCGTCCGAGAGCTATGTGTTGGTACGTTACTGTATTTTGAAAGGATATCTATAGCTTTTCAGTCTTTTGGCTATTCTGAGGCGATAAAAGACGCTTGACAAAAGTCGAATCGAGCGGAGGGCTGGGGTCACGCTTGCATTCCTTGTGTTAATTTAAAATACCGATAAAATAATCTCGTGTTGTCAGATTTCATCGACTTTTACTGATAAATCGTCAGAGTCCTGTGGTCTTATCTATTACAACATTGCATGTAGACTATACTCTGATTTGTACTGTATTGAGTTTGTCGCCCTTGATTATTTGTTAACAGCAATTTCGGGATCTTATTTGGCAATATCATGCAAAAGAGATGCTATAAGCACATTGATGCGGCTTGTTTCGGGATTTATTGGGCGGGTATCAAACCTGCGACAGTTAGATTACGAATCAAACTCGCACAAATTAAGCAATCTCTACTTCAAATTAAAACTGAACATTGATTTTCTCGTCACCAGACTTATTTAGAGAAAGTTTTACACACCAGATTCCATCGTAATGGCATTTAATTGTTAGATATTATTTTTTTTTCTTTGCATACAAAATTAACAAATGATATGCAGTCACTAATGAATGCAGATACCCCCAAAAATATTGTTATATATAGTTATTGCTGATGACTGCAACGATGTGAAAACCATTGCAAATAAAGCCTTTACTGTTCGATAATTCCTGTAATACGGTAAACTTGTCCGATTTGCTCTTGGAAACTTTAGTATCTCTGATCCAGCTGTTATTTGTAGTAGACCCGAATGATACAGCCCTAGTATTTGCGGATTAAAAAATACAGCTCAAGTTTATCCATATACAATAAGGAAAAAGGAAAACCACGAGACCGAGCAGGAGTACAATTGATAATATATGTCAGTTTGTATTCGTTAAAAAACAAACAACGTTTCGTTTAATCTTTTATATTTAATTTTGACCCGTATCATAATTAATTTTAAGAAACAAAAGTATTGTTTTTGTCGTCACCTACTGATGTGAAAGTTCATCAAAAGTTTTGGTCATGCTATGTACATGTATGAAGTTGGTTTGATCAGGTTTCAAGAACCATAATTTGAAATGTTATACTCAAATTGTGATTTTTTAAAAACAATATGTCAAAGTTGTTCAGGAATAATACTTTTCTGAAGCTTTTTTGGATAATACTATGTGTCTAACACAGATAATAACTGTATGTCTAAATTTGACTTGTCTAACCTAGATCATACTCTAATGTTATGATCCTGTGATCTGAAACTAATAGAATAGAACAAACACCAAACTGCTTTTTTAAAAAATGCGACAAGAAATGTATTTCCCTAAAATACAAACTGAAAATTTAGAACGAATGTACAGTATTGTGAATCAATTCCCAAACAGTCACAACAGTTCTATCAGAAGGTCAAAAGTATGAATTTTCAATTGAATTCCAGTGGTGTTTTAAATGAATGCCAATACTGAGTGAGTTGATGTGCCTGTTGTCTCGCATTTGCTAATGTGCCAATGGCCTGGAATGTGACTATATGCTCACAGTCTTTAGATTTATTACAACAATGATATCCAGAATCTACTTGACTGAATTCACTATAATTACCTATT